GAGGGCCTGAGGGACCTCAGGGATGTAAACATGAATAAACGAATACATGGGCTTAGGGCTTATATAAAAATACATACATACATATATATATATATATATCTGTCTCTCTCTCTCTCTCTCTCTAAATATATATATATATATGTATATATGTATACATATATCTATATGTGTATATATATATACATATAAACACGTATCTCTCTCTCTCTCTCTCTGTACATATCCCTATAACCCCAGTTTCTCACAGTTTTAAGAGACCCTAAGCATCGATTTAGAACCCCTATATCATCTAACCCCGTTTTGAAACCAGACTCGTGATGTCATCTAACGCCTACACCCTAAACCCCAAACCCTACGGCCAAGAAGGACCAAGGAGGAGGCCGTTGTTTAACTCAACCCCTCGGTCCCCGCTGTCAGGTGAGAACAAAAATGGGTTTCAGGGTTAAGGATATATGGGGGTTTAGGGTCTAGGGTTGCGTATATGTATATATATATATATGGGAGGGGTATACATGGAAATATACAGGAGCATATAGGGAATCTACAGGGATGTCTATATATATATATATACATATATATATAGATAGGGATACTGTAAGGGTACATAGGGTTGAGGTGTAGGGTTTGTAAAGGCTCTTCGGCAGTTGGACGTGACCACCTGTACAGAGGTTTGCCGGTGTTATATGGGGATTTTTCGTGATATGTAGGGTTGTAAATGTAGAAGGCACTGTCTCCTCATGTGAGCCAGAGTCTAAACTCCTAGTATCTTCCTTAATAACCCTGTAAAAATTTCCATACAAGTGGGGTTCCGGCTCCTGTTCATGGAAGACCTCTTGCACCACCTGGAGACCGTTAACTGTGGTAATTGACTACTCGACCAGGACCCTGCCTGTACCCTTTGATTACGGATATATAGTTCCTAATGAGGATTATAGAGGGTAGGTAGGGCATCTAGGGAGATGGTTCAGAAATCTTCTATCAACAGTCCGACAGAGACTAGGAGATCATCATGCGCACGCTGTGCGCCCATGCCAGGATGGGAGAAGGAACAGCGAGCGCGTCAAGGAGCCAAGTTTGGGCAAGGGTCTTCGGCCCATGCAGCTGTTCACCAAGATGAAGACAAATTCGCGAACTCTGCTTGTGCAGCGGCGAGCAGAGCTTGGAGAAATCATTTCCAGCGGTATGTACGATGCAGCAAGAACGTGCCAGAAACTTGTTTGTATGTTTTCTAACTCGACTAGAACCAGTCAGAAAAATTGGCGCACGCTGGCAGTTTTCAAGGAGGAGGCGACAAAGGAATCTTCTAGAAACGGGATTCAGGATTCCCTCATCAGGATCCATGTCTTAGTTCAAGTTACAGCGACCCTGCCTTTCCCTTGGAAAACTCCCGGGTCCACAAGGCAAACCTTTACAGCTTGACTTGTCAGACAGCTGTGCTTTTACCTGTATCTGGCTTCAGCTAAGCCAAACAGGACACACCTGGGTCATCGTCAATCTCCTCCAGAATCTCCTCCAGCTGAACTCCTAGACTCTGAACACGACCCTAAACCCTGAATGAGACCCAGGAGTGATTTAGAATTTAGAAACTACTTCAGAGGTGTCGGACACTCTGGGCTCGTCTCCCACAACTTCCTTGGTTTGGGAGTTGGGCCAAGGGAAGCTTAGGCCGTCCTTTGCGGTTTGGGGCCTGGGATCTCTATAGGATTTCAGGCTTTGGGGCCTTTAGGGCTTAGGGTTTGGGGCTGGGGTTTCGGGTGCGGAGTTGAGCAGTTAGCGCTTCAGGCATTTAGGTCTTTCGGCTTGAAGTTTAGGTGTTTCATACGCGGGCAGTGTACGAGTAGAAGAACTGCAGCCGAAATACTCCTGAACTATCCGGGGATTGTGCATCAAGGCGACGAGGGGAGCATACACTGATTTTTCATCTTCTGGGTTGGCCCCTAAGACCCATTGAAAAATATTAGTATATATGGTCCCCTATTAAAGCCATTAGGGAAAATATTAAGTATCCTAGGGGCCTACCCAGTCTTCCACAAATGCCTGCATGGAGTATCCGCATGTAAGACCAAGAGCTGCTCATCAACGGAAAGGTTTCTACACAAAGTTTAATGGGGTTTCCCAAAATTAGAGGTACCTACTATAATGGAGAATCAAATGGAAAAGAAAATGGAAAATGAAATGGAAACTGGGGTTCTATAGGGGATTAATTATAGGGATTAGGGTTTCCCAAAATTAGGGGTACCATTCTGAGGGTCCCCATAATAAGGATTATAATATATTGGGGTCCATATTGAGGTCCACTATTTTGGGAAAATGCCAAATGGGTTCTTGACGGACTGACGGACTGCAATCAGTGGTCGACTCTACATTGTGCCCCTGAACTTTCTGAAGCATGGCAGTGCCCGCAAGGAACCTAGGGATATGTAGGGGCTACACATAAGGGAACATAGGGGCTTTAGTGGTTACAATAGTAACCCCCCACCCCCCCAGGCGTAGAGGTCTATTAGACCTTATTGAGCCCTATAGCGTCCTTATTGGCTCCTTAAACCCTGGGGGGGGCAATCGGGGTGGACGGTTATATAACCCCTTATTAGGTTTCTCTTAGTAGCCCGGCCCCCTCATTTCATGGAATGCTATGCCTCACGTCAAAGTTCTGAGCGTTCAAGTCTTGAGTCACTTCCTACAATTCTAAATCATCCCTCCTTTCAATTACCACAAAAAAAAGATGAGAGTTGTAACAGCCGCTGCACAAAGCCCCCTTTAAGGACGGTTACTGGGAGGGGGAATGACCCAGCTCCAGTTGCTGAATCCTCCCCACCCGATTCCAATGTTGGCGAGATCCGCTTCAAGCAAGTGAGGGCTTTCCAAAAAAATGGTGGCCTCCATTCTAGAATAGCACAAGCCTTAACCCTTAAAACCAGGAAGAACTCCTAAATGGAACCCCCTATGTTTTCAAGCCTCAGTTGCCCCCTTGAACCCCAGGCAGGGGTTATGCGAGGATAGTCCAACCCTCTTGAAGTAGTCTAGGGGCACAAGTTTGAACACCCTCATATCAAATACCCGGAGGTGGCTGGTCTTGCTGGCCAGTTGCACTTTCCTCACCTCGCAGTCGAAAGCACCAGGGCGTAATTCGGCCACACTGTGCATGTCCATCTCCAGGAATGGTATGTCCTGGCGATCAGGGGAAAGGGGTTGTGGGGTGCAATGGTGCCTTGACCGTCTATTAATTCGGGAAAATTATTGTATTGAGCGGCAACATACGACTTACATGCTGCCTTCAAAGCTGTTTCCTCCAGGCGAACAATCAGCACCTTCTGTAATTATCTTAATTGCCCTTGCGGAGTAAACGCGAACACTGGAGACACCATCCCGGCCCATGACATGGCTCTGATGACAGCATGAACCCTGGCATCCCTCTGCAGCCTCACACCTAAGGGTCAAAAGCACTCAGAACAAGGCACAGGGGTCTCCCTACAGAATGTTATCACTAGCATAATAGTTTCCTTAAATAGGGGGACCACAATATAGACCCGAATATACTATAGTCCTCCCTAATTTTGGGAAACCCCCACATGGCTTGGGAGCAAAGTAACGGTCTGGTCAAAAGCTTGGTCCTGACCTCCAGAGGTGTGCCCGTTCGCCCATAAACAACGCTATGCAGCTGTGTGATGCCCTTAAAGGGTCCCTAGCCCCAGTGTTGAGGAAACATACCTCCATGGGTATAAACCCTGGACCCTGAAGTCTAATCTAAACCCTAAACCACCTCCATGGGTGTGCCAGTGAAGTAGGCATATAAACACCTCTGCACGGCCAAGTGGGAGATGACCTGAGGTATACTTTTTTTTGGTTTTATGGCACCGGGTTTGGGAAATTTGGGGTTTAGGGCTTTAAGGACATGATCCCCTTTAGTGGAGAATCGAATGCCACAAATGGACACTGAAACGGAAACGGGGGGTGTATGTGTAAAACCATGCCTCACTTTGGACCAGAGTTTCAGGTTTGGGTGTGTAGGGTTTGAAGTTTAAGGCTTTGGAATTTAAGCATTAGCTCTTTGACGAGTCGGTTTAAATCTAGGATTTTTTGCCTTGGGGCTTACAAGGGTGCAGGGTCTAACGTTTAGGGCCAAATTACAAGGATCTAGGGCTTGCACCCCTTCTGCCTGTGGCAAAACGCGTTACGGCATGGTGCTGCCTTTGTCCCCCTCACTGCAAGTGTATACTTTGGGGTTGAAAGTCTAAAGTTCGGACTTTAGAGCTCAGAGTTTTGAGCTTGTTGAAGTGTGGGGCTTAAGGTTTATGCCCCATGAAATCAACTGTAGCCTATAGCCCGGCTGGCTTTCCTATGTAGGCCTGACAGATTCAAATATCTGTGACAAACAGAGAGCTGAAACCTGCAATGGCAGTCAAGGCAGTGGAAATACCCCGAGCCAGATAGTCCCCTTTAAGTAGAGAGAATATGGCTTTGGGTATGTCTTAATAAGATCCCCATGTACCCCATATTCCATCTACTTTAGGGGGGTTATAAACCTCAAACCCTAAACCCTAAATTCTATCCACAACCCCAAACCCTAGATACCCTCTATAAACTCTAAACCCAAAGGTGGGGAAGACCTGAAACACTAACATCCTCCCAGAATGGGACATAACCTGAGAAGGGGGGTCGCCGTAGAGGATTGTAACGTCAGGTAGAGACTCTTCAAGAGACTACGACCCTGAAGCCCAGACCTACATCCTGGCAGGGAACCAAAATAGAACGGCGTTGACGCTCAAGCTCGATAATGATGGGCCGTAGGCGTCCGATGACGTCCTTCCACTTGAGTGTTCTAGGGTTTGGGATTTGCTGAGCCCTGGATGTTTTATAGATTGCGGCAGAGGACCCGACCAAGAACAGGCGGCACTATGGTGTTTTGGTTCAGGATCAGGGTTATAGCTTAAGGAGCTGGGATGATTCCAGGACATTTCTACCTATCAATCAAAACGATCCACCTCAGCCAGAGCTTATGCGACTCTACTAGACCCTCAAACCACAAGGGTTTTAGGGTTGTACCCCTGGAGGCGTACCCTGAATGGAAAGATTCTTTTCAGGTTAACTTAGGATACACTTTTGGCCCAGATAATTGAGGACCCCGGCCTATACGGCGGATTCTGATTCCGTCCATGAGGTGATTGGGGGTCAGATTTTGCCATCTTTAGGGTTTGGGTTTAGAGTTGAGGGTTGGGGGTTGAGGGTTGAGGGTTTAGGGGTTAAGCCCAGGTTCACACAGCAAGCTATTCAGGTCCCTGCAGAAGGTACACACCAGCAACCTTACCTCACGGCAACATGGAGGGAGCCTAAGGTCATATTGGGATGACTGGGGTCCGGCCTATACCGGGTATAAGGTATAAGTAAATGTACTTACGTACTAACTTTCCCTCCCTCCAAGCAAAATGTAAACAAACAGGGCTCTTGCAACCTGCCCTAGTTCATGGTTTTCTGCTGTGGGCCTGCTTGCTTCAAGGTGTCACAACAAACTCTTTGGTTGCCAAATTGCTGAAGTCGAACAATCAACGCAACGGAATGTAAATCCTCGGCAAAACTCAATCCCTAGGGATCCAAGTCTACAAATGATACCAATAATGGAGTATCAAATGGAAAAGAACATGGAAAATGAAATGGAAACTGGAGTTATACAGGGGACTATATAGGGATCCAAGAATACAACTAATCGCTACATTGGGTCCTAAAGTCTGTAGATATGACCTACATAGGGTTATTTGGAACCCTAGGGAATCTGAACCTTGCCAAGCTTGCTGAAACGTCAAGCCCAGTAAGTCGAACAGAAATCTATGCCCTTGACCCTGTGCTCAGAGATCCAGCAGCTGAAGGCAGAATGGTTCGTCTCCTCTAAACTCAATGCCCCAGAACCTGACTTGGGCCCTTCAAAAACCATCACTAGCTCCCTGCAAACCCAGATCAACCCTACAGAGCTTGAAGCGCTGGACAGTAGATCATACACTGCGATTCTGCAGGGCTCGCCTTTAAAAAGGAACCCTACCGTCCGACGCCTTCACCCCGCTACAGAGCAAGTTGAGAAGGCCCAAAGGATCCCAAGCACCTGAAAGCCAACCCCACCTGAGGGGTTTGGGGTTTACTAAACCCTAAACCCTAAGGGTTTAGGGTTAAGGGTTTAGGTAAACCCTACCCGTGAACTCCGAAATCCCACCTTGTACGACTCACCATTGGGGTACCGGAAGTTGAGCTTATCTCGCTCTCTGGCGGCCCACAGGTCGGGGTAGTCGCTCTGAATCCTGGGATAAAGAAAACTTAATTCAGGGCCTAGAGGGTATAGCAATACAGCCCTTATGGGATTGGGGGTTGAGGCGCCCAGGGAGAATATAGAACACCATGGTCCATACAAGACCCCATTTATCTGCCAATGTTGACCTGGCAGGTACCCCCAGCACTCCAAACTTTCAGATTAGGGGTCTAGAGGGAGCTTGAATCTTTAGACTCAAGCGAGTTTTGTTCGGGTGTCAATGCTTAAAGCTGACGTCTTCTGGCTCTGGTTGTGTATATGGCTTCCTTGCATGCTTTCACGGAATTCTATAAATTCCAAAACATACCATGGGAATCTTGTAGGCCGCTGATCCGGTGGATGCCAAAAATTCCTTCATGAAGATCGTGGGGTTTTAGTATACTAAGGTAATGCATGATCTGTAATATCAACCGTTGTGTATAGGGTTTAGGGGCCCAAAAAATTGCCGGTATCATTTGGAGATCGGCTTAATTAAGGTACCCCTATACCATCGTTATACAAGGAGTCTAGAACCAGAATAATGGCAATTCTTCCTATCCCTATATAAGCCCGGTCTCCATTTCATGTACAATTTGTTCCATCTGATTCTCCAGATTGTCATATTATCCCTGTAGAACCCCTACTGTACATATAACAGTTTCCTTGTCGTGTTCCATGTGATTCTTCATTATGAAGGCCCCTACATAGTAATGATCCCCAAGTCTAGAACACGCACCTTTTTCTTCGATGGTGCCAGGACATTGGCGTGTCTGAGAACTGTGGGAAGCCAAGGCAGAGGCAACTACTTCAAGTTGCAGGGGATCCCACTCTTCGCAATGTGTGATTCTGGTTGCAGTAGTAACAGTTACAGTTGGCGGTGGGCTCGTATGTAACAGTATATGAATGATATGAATGAGTATAGCTGATGGTTCAGGACATCCAGGTGTTTCTTACCAAGAAGTGGGACGTTTGAATTCCGAGCGCCTTGTGAATGCACGCCGGTCCCTGCTGCCGTTCTCACGTTCTCTTTGGCAAGTTCATCACCCAGCCCACAGGTGAAGCCAGGGCAAATTGAAAAGGAATTCTTACTCGGATCTATCCTGCAAGTATGCAAACATACAGCCTATACTCGAGTATACCATTCTTCCCATCAAAAGGAAACTGCAACGTTATGGACAACTCCTGGTAAGGATTCGAGGACAAACTGTGCAAGACTGTCAGTAGTGCGCACCAGCGCACGGCGTAATGCTGCAGCAGCAGGCCACGTGGCCCAAAATTTGGCAATGACTCCAAGTACCTGTCACAACAACCAGGTGGCAGATGAACGACAGCAGAATGTGCCTACATGATATGGCGTAGGCCTACATGGATGGTAGCTATCAACCGCGAAAAGCTTGCGAATTGAGAGCCGGTTTATAGAACCTTTCTCTCGTGCATCGCATCTGCTGCAGCATATGAGCGCAGTCATTGCTGACGTTCATGCAGGGGGAAGCTCCTTTACGCTAATATATGCTTAGTCCTCACACTCATCGTCACTGATCGCGGACGACCCACGCATGAACGACTTACTGCGAGTCGTCAGTCACGCCATCATCCAGGAGCTGAATCATCTGCTCCATGTCCGCCTCGGAGCACAAGGACGCAGAGAAGCGTTGAAGCCGAGCTTTGCCTCCAAATTCTGCCGGATCTCCTTGAGGCCGGCCATGGCATCCTCCATCTCTTGCACCGCCTTCAAGCGGCGGTGCTTGATCGTGGGCACCATGTACAGGGAGCTGATGGCGGCGCCCTTCGCTGCTGACACCGGATTTGCCTTGAGGACGCTGCCTTTGGCGCAGCCAGCATGCACAGCCGCGCCGAAGGGGGCGATGGCAGCGGCAGCGGTGATGATACCTGAGATGCTTGCCCCGCACAGCGCGCTGACGTCCAGCAAGTCCTGACAGTGCACCACCATGAGATTGATGAAGACGACGACCTGACTCATGTAGGCAATCGCGCCGCCAATGTCCACGGTGCAGAGGGCATCAAAGACTCCAGTGACCTTGTTGATGGGTCCCTGGCGGTTCACGCGGCCGTAAAAGCCGCTGTTCACTGCAGAGTTGATGGAAATCCCCATGTTGGCAATGTTGGCAACCACCATACTACCACCATACCGACGTTCACCCCACACTGCACGCCAAACCCGATCGGACCCTCGCCAACGAGCAGTCGTCGTCCCGAGTCTCCTCGCACGGTCTGCGTCTCCAAGGAGACTGATCTTGGAGGTCGTCAGCTGAGGTGGCGCGCCCGTGCATGTAGCCGCTGCCAGAGACGCCGTGGCTAGCCAACTCGCCCAGCACGGCGACCAGGCCAGTAACCCCCACTGCGCAGACCGCGTTGACATTGAGGGTTGTAGCGCAGTTCGAGACAGCGTGGGCCAACCTGGCGGCGGCATTGCCCACCCAGGTGACGAGGATGGCGGCATCCACTTGGCACGCAAGCTCCGCCTCGCCGTCACGAGGAGGAGGGCAAACCCTGATGATCGCGTTGATGTCATCACCAAGGCCCACTACAGAGACAAGGGCCTCGAGCACGTTGAAAGCACAGTATGCGTTCGTAGCCTCGCGAGCTCGTTTTGCCTTCTCGCTCGCCCTGTACGCAAAGATCTCTTCCTTGGTGAGCATCTCACGGCGGGCATCGGCAGGGTCTGCTGGCAGCGCGCGAGCCTTCTTCTGCTCGAAGTGATCAGCATACTTGCGCCCCGTCTTCCTCATAGCCTTCAGCACGATCTTCTCAGCCAGCTTGCGCTTCTTGACACTCTTCAAGGCACTGGCCTTCAGAGACATCTGCGCGTCCAAGCCTAGGGAAGAAGGTGCCCTGGAAGGCACCCAAATCCAAGGACTGACACTTCTTTGCCCTTGGCATGGCCAGGAGCGCAAGGACCCCAAGGCACAGTGCTCCCAGCAAAGCGACTTTCTTCACCCAACCACGGGAGCTCGGAAGCGATCGACTCCTGCTCAGACTCCGCGTGGACAGCTTCGAAAGGCATGGCCATGATGAGTCTATCCTAGATGTAGGCTGGTGAAAGGACTGCTTGCAAAGAGCTTTTGCAGCAAACACGGCTGCGACAAACGCTTAAAAAAGGAGCTTGCATTTCCACTGGCAAGATATTTGGTGCAATAGCCAGCAATGGAGTCTGAATGCAGGACAAGGTTCTCAGCGTAGCTTAGGCCGTTGCAGACACCACCGTCCAGCTCATTCAAGAGGGAAGTGCTCATGGCCTGCAGACAAAACAACAGCAATCCATGCTCGCATTCAAAACGGACGGCCTAAATGGTATTTCGCGTTTGCAACCGACAAGTAGTTTTCAGAACTCGGGCTTCATCGGTTTGCCCAGATACTACGTACGACGCTGACGAAGGGCCGGGAATCTAAGGATTCATGTCCCCATACAGAGCCATCTCCACTCCAAAGCGCCGCAAAATGATCCCGATGTGATGGACGGACCCACATGACAGAGAAGTGTCACCAGACACTCTGCAGAAGCTTGTAACAAGCATATCAGGGATCCCCCTCATAAGTCAGACATTGTCCTGCATATATATATATATGTATAAATATTTCAGTAGTTGGGGGTATTCATCATTATCTGTTGCAGGGTTTCATATCAGGGGAGAGGATTCGAACCGGTGCTCCAAGTGAAGGTCCGCCAGTTTGACGGATGCCTGCGCATAACCTCCCCCAAACTAGCATCAACACTCCCCTAAGGCCCTGTACAGACTACTTTCCTTTTCAAAGGTTCATGCGGAAGCACATCCTTCAAGACCATCGCAGTTCAAGCACTAAATAAACCCTGAATGAACCCTTACCCCGACCTGCCAAACATCCCTTACAATAGCCTCTAGCTCCAAAATAACGGGTATATGGGATATTGCTTTGGGTATTCTGGAGGTCTAGATACACCCAATGATCTTGGCAAATATTCTGAGTATATCAGGCCTTGCGGTACAGCTTGTTTGAGCCCAAATATTTCGACTCGAGTCATGCTAAATATCTAGCATGCGGGGTTTACGTTGCGGTCGCTCTGAGCATGGAAACTACCACATAGGCTTCTGTTGCAAGAGCCGCGGATCTGATAGATCCCGTGTGGGCATTCCGCAATACCTTGGTGCCCATACATCAGCTGCTGGCCTTTGAAATTCTCTAAACCCCAAATCCTATACCCTACTCCAGTGTTCGCATCTCGGAGCTCTAGACTTGCTCTTACTTAGCAGCGAAACAAGGAATAGAAAACAACATCTAAACCGCCTGCTGTAGGTTTCGGGATTATGAGACCGGTGAGGGATCGATTTCTTCAATCCCCCCTAGACCCTATACACCCTAAACCCTGATTCTCCTAAACTTTCAACCCTAGCCTATTTTATCATTCCCCCGAGGCCCCACACCCTGGGTGTAGGGTTTAGGGCTTCAACCCTATTCCACTAAATCGTAACTCCCCTAAACTCTCGAAACACTTGCCTGGAAGCCTTTGCAGTGCACCGCGCCTCCTGCAAGGCAAGAGTCCGAAGCAGGGATTACGGTTTATGGTTTGAGGTTAGGCTTAATTAAGGGTTCAATTAAGGTGTAGACATCACAGACTTGGGGTCTAAAGTCTAAATCCTAAATGCTAGATGATGTAAAAGTCCGTGAAATACACTTGAAGAGTCTGCTGAAAAGTGCAGCAGCAGGCCTGTCTATACCACTGTCTTGCAAAATGGGCATTTCCCTAAACTAGGGGTACCTTTGTGGGGGGACCTAAAATAAAGACTAGAGTATCTGAGGGTCTATATTGGGGTACCCACAAGCCAAGGGCCGACACCTGCATCCATGAACTGGGCTTAAGTGCGGCTGTAGAAGCGGCTACTTGCAATACCACTCATATTCTCCGGACTGATACCGGTACTGGCTGGACTGATTGATACCAAGGATAATCCTGGACCAAGAAAACTCTTTGGGACCATGATGTCCCGGACCCCCTGATTAGCCTCCAAACAGCCATAGTGGGATAAATCTACTTGTTAAACCTCATGCAGACTGCTTTTACATCCCCTCCTAGAACATGCTCAAACCCTTACAACCTGAATCCTAAACCTAAACCGTGGACCCTGAACCGTCTAGACCCTAAGCCCTAAACCCGAAGCACTGAACCCTAAACCCTAAGCCCTTAACGCTAAACCCTAAATCCTAAGCCCTAACCCCAAACCCCCAACCAGAACAGCCCCCTCCCCCCCGCCCCCTACCCCCCCCCTCCCTCAAAGCAACACCTGGTGTAAACTCTCCGTTGAGGTCCGAGGTCAGGCTCGGACTCGAGCCTTTCATCCTCGACTCCGGTTTGCTTACTGGGGGTTAGCAGGGAATAAGGCTATACATATACATGTATATATGCGTGTGTAGATGTATGTATGTACTTATATATGTATGTATAGAGGGTTCAGGGCTTTTGGTTAGTAGGGAAGAGGGGAACATATCACATAGGGTTATATAGGGAGTGTATTCCTTTTTCCCTGCAATACGGGGCTAGTTTCTGGGGGTTAATAGGGAATAAGGGAGAATCTGCAATAATTTCAGAAAAGAACATGGATAATGAAATGGATACAGGTTTTTAGGGGTGATATGGGGGCTAGTTACTGGGGGTTAATAGGGAATAAAGGAATATAGTATGTTGGGATTACATAGAGATCATATTCCCATACTCCCCACTAGCAACCAGAAAGTTTTGGTCTTTTTGTCGCAACTTTTCGCCACTGCCTGAGTTTTTAGGGTGTAGGTTTTAGGGTTTCTTCGAGGTGATTTGAGGATTGTTTAAAGTTATGGTTCCCCTTGACAGCCCGTATTATCATGCAAAAGAATTATTAAGGGTGCCGAAAACACTAAACACCAAACCCGAAGGTGTAGGGCTTGCGGTATGCCATCTACAGGACAGGTGGGTGGTTTGCGGGTGGGACTCTTCCAATGGGCTTCTACTTCATAGGTCACACAAAGAAGCTCTTAGAAGCTACCTAAGCCTAAACCCCAAACTAGTAAACCCCAATATAGCCCTAATATAACCCCAATGTACAGTAACCCCAATATATGAACTCTAGATCTCGGTGAGTGTGATCTACGCTTCTTTTACTGCTTTGTGCAGCACAAAACTACAAGCGGAGAGAACTGGAAGCTGGTTGACGAAGGACTGGAATCCCTTTTGACCTGGCGATTTCTTTGAAAGGTTCTAGGGGTTACATAGGGATATATAAGGGTATATAGGGGTATATAAGGTTTAGGGTTTAAGGTTTAAGGTTTAGGGTTAAGAGGACATGCTCCCTGTAAGCTGCATGCCTGTTTGGTATGGCCGGTGGGTATGGGGTTCCCTTTACGGATGTTTCTTGGGAACCATGCCAAAGTACATAACAATAAGGCCTATGCCTAGTGGTGCTATTATTCTAGTGGTGCTATTATTCCTCTGATAACACAAGCTATCCCCAAAATGATGCCACATTCTCTTGGAAATGGAGCGGTTACACCCTAATCCCTTAACCCTAAGACTTGAAGCCCAGCTCTGATTGTTTGCTGTGGAGGTGCTCAACAACATCTGAGCCATAGTCTAAAGTCCTAAAAGGGGGTTATATAGGGGATTATATAGGGGACGATTATAGGGGTTATAAAGGGGGATACTAGGAGTTTAGACTATAGCTCATCTAAACATTTGTTCTTCCATCCTCTCTGCTAACACCCGGAAGAACCTGAAACCCTGCTCAAACCCTTAACTCGATGTTCCCGAGCATCATCATCGATTGCCTCAGCTGCACTTCAGGCACAGGGCTCTTCGTGGCATAGGGCCGTAAATCTGAAGTTAGATCGTGTAATGTAAGATTAACTCAAAATGCCCTCCCACCAGAATAGTTGCCTTCCGAGTTCTGTTAGTTTGTGTACTAAGATTCGGAACACGCACCATGCAAAAAGTGAGTGGTCAGAGTAGGTTTATGGGTACCTGGATGCCCCGCATTCCCTAAACACCCATTATGACATATTCTGATAGCCTTTGATCCCAAAACCATGTACCATGTTGGGCCTGGAGGTGGTACAGCTACTTGCGGCCAACAGCCCCAAAGAGACTCCAGAGCTCTCAAACCTGTGATCATCAGAATCACAACCCTTGTTTTTAGACTGCTTACTTTTGACAAACCCTAAACCCCATTATAGTAATTTCCATTTTCTTTTTCATTATCCCTATATTATGACTATTCTTACTATATAACTTGGGTACTGCCCCCTACCCAGTAACAGTCTATATTGAGGGTCCTTATAAGGGCTATATATAACCATATTATAAGTACTATCCAACTGTTACTGAGGGGGGGGGCAGTATTGAATATATAACCTTATATAATCCCTATATTATGACTATTATTACTATATGACCTTATATAATCCCTATATTATGACTATCATTACTATATGACCTTATATAATCCCTATATGAATCCTCTCCTCGGTCCCCAAGGCCTGCTTCAGAATCTTGGAACACTGCTACTGTGACTCGGCCAACCTCAACCTGTGTCCTTTGTTTGTAACATGGGGGTTTCCTAAACTCAGGGCCACCTTTAAAGGGCTTTGTAAGGGTCATATAAGGCTATCTAGGGGAATTCTGAATTTAAGGCTTTCCCAGAATTAGTGATACCTTTTTGGGGTCCCTATAATAGGGATTACATTATCTTGGGTCTATGTGGGGGTCTTGCTCTTTCGGGAAACTACCATGTTTCCTCTCTCGTTCTACACAGTGCAAGTGCCCGAGCCTTTTTTGCACCATCGAACGCAACAAGAATGCCCTGGGCGCTTGCAAGGATGTGAATAGAAAGAACGTGATAATTTCCATGAACAAAGGAAGCTGAATATAGACCCCAGTATACTATAAGCCTTATTATAGGGACACCCCCATAAGAATTACCACACATTTTGGGAACCCTCCACCCTATATGACCCCCATAAAGCCCCTACATAACCCCTATATAAAGCCCTCTAAAGGTAGCCCTAAGTTTGGGAATCCTTCGGATACCAGTCCTGCAGCTGTGCGACAGTGTGGAGTAGTGGACCGGAGCCGTGCCCATCAGCACCAAAATGTCGCCACTAGTCTCCACTTGTCCAGCCTATGCGGTTTAATTTAGGGTTTAGGGTTATAACTCACTGAAGTTAGCAAGGAAAAAGGGAATATAGTATATAGGGATTCTATAGAGACTACACTGCCCTGTTCCCTACTAAC